TATAATATCTCCGCTCAAAATAAACTAAAGTAACGATATAGATTTGCAAACAATTAATTCATCAATATCAACTCGACATATATTTCGAGTAAAAAATATATTTTAACTTTGCTATTTCAAAGTCTTGTTAAAAAAAAACATGCTGTATTTTTTTCTCCAACCCTTAATTGACATTCTAAACGATTCTGATGTTTCATTAACCTTGATTACATTGTCCAAGTATGGCGTCAAAGCTCCATCTCTAGTTGTGACAAACTGCTATACACGAGTGCTTTCCGCCCGAAAAGTAATTCAACCGCAGTGCCTAATTTCGCAGTTAAATGAAATTTTACTTGAGTGCTTTGTCCATGGAGCTTGTGGCGAGATGAAACACTGTGACTCGGAGCGCACCGGCGAATGGAGGAAGATTGTTAATACTGATTTCACTGTTCAGCATGTGCTCCAACGTAGTAAGAGCGTTATACTTGTCGGTCATACGATTCACTGATAATTACCAAAAGCACCATCTCTCGTTCGTCCAGCTTGATTGCATCATGAAATATATGCGTTAAATCTTGCAAGAGTGGAGATTGAATTATTTAACATATAAGTACTTATAGTACCAAAGTCTGCTCGTTACCTTCGTCAACCTGCAAATTGGATTTGACATTACGTTTAAGTATATCAGATAATTAAACATAGTTTGCACGCGCACTAAGTTTCCGTACGGTTTCAGAGTATTATATCAATATGAAAATATTATTATAGTGACCTGATTTTTATTCCCTAAATCTTCTTAGATCTCCGAAAAGGCAAATACCTTCTAATAAATTTTATACATATTTTATTTTGTGCTAATTTAATTATCAATTTTTTCTCCAATTTAATAATTGTGTTTTAACAAAACATTTTTTACAACATTTCTAGAGTAAATTATTTTGGAACATCAAGTACGAAAAGAGAAAGAGTGTTCCTTATGTAATTAGTGCAATGTTGGTTTTTCTGTCGCATATTTACGAGTGTAGTGGTTTTTACTACAGTAACTCGGCTAAAACTCAAAATAAATATGTAAGAGAACAAGAGTGCTAATTGTTTGCTAGCCACTTCTTGCGCATTATTTACATTTATATCGATTTTCCTTTCGGCGTTTGTCACAGCCTTCGGTAACTCGGATTAGGCGCCGCTACTAACTCCGAAACAAATATTTGCTTATCGTTATCCGCGGATGAGTTTCTCGAAATAATACGAAGTGAAATAATCATTGAAAGACCTCCGAAATACTACTCCGTCAAAAGCTGCATAGAATTCAAATGTTGAGTAAGCGAAGCCCGCGAGTTATCTACCGCTTTAGATATTAATTGGAGCAGCACAATTTCAACAGTCCTCCCCATATTCCAGTTGATGCATTATAGTCTGCTCATTTATACAGATACTTATGACAATGTGATATACGTGATTACTTCGGCAATGCAACACGCGCGCGCAGTTATTGCCTATCTATGTCATGTATAGATATAGGAATTTCGATATATATGTCAATCGAGGTCCGATATATGCGTGTACGTGATTGACCTATTGTATTAATCAAATACTGATGGAATTACCGTACTGTTTGTACGAGTATCTATTGCAGATTCATATATGTTCCACTGATAGTGGAACTGCTAATCAAACCCATGTTGGCTCATCAAAACCATTGCAGAAGATTACGGTACGTTGCAACGAAAGAGATAAAATTGCAATAAATTTTTAGATAGATTTATTTTTTACGATATAATTTATAAAATTTTCCAAGTGTGTTTTCACGTTATTTTATCGATAATTCTTTCTTTTATAGTGTTCTGACATTAAATATATATTGTTATATTCAAAATAAAATGTGTTATAATATAATATAATATTATAACACACATAATATAACATATAATATAATATTATATTTATTCGAGCAAACAAAAGATTATAAAATACTCCTAATCCTATTTAGAAATACAATTGTATATTTAAAATGAATAGGCTAGCCGATGCAAGTTTATTTCGGATAAATAATCTGTTAATCCATCGATTGAGCGGTGACGCATCATATTTATTGTTTAACACTTACTTTAATATTTTAATATATTTTTGATATTTTTATGTTCGATCTATTGAATCGCTACTGTGCGTTACATTTTGCTCCTAGAATATTTTTATTGTAGCTGAAATTTATACTCAGTCGTAAAAAAAATTCAGCGCGAACTCGGAAATTAAATATAAAAAAAAAACCACGTTATATCTAATTTGTGAAACGGAACGTATGATCATATGTCATGTAACAGAGTCTATTGACTTTCCAATTGGATGCATGCCTCGTTGATGGAGCTACTGTACTGCTGTAATACGTCGCTACTAATACGGCTGCATCGCGATATGACGCACGTTGGAACTGTCATTAAATTTATTAATTCCCATATAATGAACTGCATCGTATATAATGCCCGACAGCGTTAATAATTACATTTGCGATGGAAATTATTGCTTGGTAACGGAAAGTTTCCTCCTAGCGCTTTGTTATATGAAGATAATAATTATGGAAATAATTATACAGGCTGAACTTCACATATTGACTATCGAATACGTTACGAGCGTGTATGAGTTTAAAGTATTCTATATATGTAAGAATATCACAAAAAAATATACTTTAAATACTGTAAAGATACTTACTTCTTTTATCGATTGTTGATCCTTCAATGTGCTGTGAAAATTATTTTAAATTGTTTCCTCTATGCTTATTATAATTTTATTATATCTTGTTTTATTATAATTAATGTAAAACATTTAATTATTATGATTAAATTGTAAATCCACTTTAATAATTTACTTTATTAATTTACTAACTTACAAGAACAACAAATTGTTATGTGCACTTTTGCAGTTACGAATGCAAAGTGCGAACTCTTGAGGTTTAAAAAACAAAAGAGATGTTGCGGAGGAGATGAAATTTAACGCATAACGGTTTGTATAACAAAGTAGCGAAAAGTAAGGCGTGAAAGAATCTTTTCTACTAAAAGGAGGTAATTAGCGCTTCTTAACTCAAGTATTAATTAAAATTGTTCTTTCAAAACATGACATCAAGAGTAATCAAGAGATAAGAAAAATCGCGTCGGTTAACGAATTATTAAGACAATACCGTGAAAACTCATAATTGTTAAAAGATCTCATATAAAAATTCATTGAAACAAAAGAATATGGCTAAGACCTTCGTAATCCGTCACTTACTTCTGAGTATTTTTTTTCTTCTTTTATTAAATGCGTACAATGGCAAGTAAAATTTTCCGCCACAATTTGCAATGCTAATTCGGCGAAAATGTACAAGAAAAAGCTTATGAAAAAGGATATCTATAGAGAATGACAAGTAACACTTAATCTACGTTTTTCCAATCGTTTTCCCTATTTGCTTAGCCGCGTACATATCTCTACGTTTATAAAAACGTATCTCACGTATTATGAGATCTTCGAAGTCCGAAACAACAAATTTCGGCGCCATTTAAGCTAATTGAAAAACTGACACCGAAATCTTTTTACAGTCAGGTTTCTAATTTAATATATACAACAACCAGAGGACCGTTTATTGTGTGCATATCAATTCAGCATATCAATTGTTTAAAATGAGTTATTTCCATTGGACCAACGCGCTGCAATTACATGGTCCCACTGATAGAAGAAACGGTCTTGGGCGCTAATAACGACAAGGATATCACCGAGGATATCAAAGTCATTTTATGTTTTTGTGAATGGTCCTGAAGAAGCGAGGTACATTTCCGGCGTAACAATACTGCCAAGCTCACTGCAGAGGCACAATGCCAGTCCCCTTTTACGGCGGAAAACGAAACAGTCGAGATCGTCCCGGCGCAACGTGTTCGAATCCCCAAGAGCTAATGCACTTTCGAACAATACGTTTTTACCGGTAGCTATAACGAGGATAAAATCTGCTTCGAAGTCCGGCCATTATAAGTTCGGCGAATAAACCTGCTTTCTTTTTGCAGATACGTCACGCCGCCGCGAGCCCGGAAAAGCCCCGTTATATTTGCGTATCTGCATGAAAGCCATCGTTTTCTCGCGCACAAGTTTCCAAGTTTCAAATTCTCTACGTTTCGCAGACCGTCAGCGCGTCTATCCTTACTTTCAAACTTGAACAGATTTTATCGTCTGATATGTACTAGACACGCGTTTATTCGTCTTCGAATGTATTAACCATATAATACGATACATATTTGTAAAACATTTTCTCTTATATTAATTACATTATCCGGGATTTATTTTCTTTTATTTTTTTAAAGTACAACACGCGTCAATCTTTATATTTTAACATTTCACAACCGTAAAATTTCAACGTTTCAACGTTTTAATATTCCAGGATTGCAAAATTATGCTTGTTGATTTGAAAAATTTTTGAAAAATAAAATATCAAGATCTAGATTTTGCTAAAGTAGGTCAAAGCAATTTGATCCAGTCCAATAAATATTCCCGGAATATTATATTCGTGAGTTAAAATTAATCTATGGCATTTTTTTAGTTTCATTCATCCTTGTTAGAATTATTCGTATTAAAATATCAAACTTTTCATATCTCATTGAGAAGAATTTTATAAAATTTCGAAAAACTATAATCATAGTTTTTTCTGTCAAATATATTTGTAACTAAATATTTGTAATAAAATTTTATTTTTCCCTAGAAAAAGAGAGCCTTCAATTTGTTTTTTTTACAATTAATAACAAGACAACAAGATTATATGGGAATATATAGTATCAAAACTAATTGTGACAAAAGTTTTATTGACAATTGCAAGTGGAGTATACGTTTGCGTTTTACCAAGCGCATTTAATAATTGACTGCAGTAATGAATACTCAATGTTCAATACTTTCCGAAAACAATAGAAAACAGTTAACTTTACTAAAAATAAGACCTTGTATCATGTTTGGGTATTTTTTTTTTCACTTAATATCAATAAATTTCAATATTTTATGCAATGTTACGTTCATTTTTTTTTATGCTCAGTGAATCAACTTCCTTTATTAGTTTTCTATATTTTTCGTTGCGCGGGGATGTTTTTCTTTAATTTATTTAATATCGAAAAATATCGTCTTCAAAGCGGATTCTTTCAAAGCGGTAACAATGTACTTTTCCTATTTTCGCTTCTTCTTTCGTAAATATCATTTCAGAAATGTGTTTGTTGGCTCGTTTTTAGGTCACGCGTTATATTAGTATGGTATTTGTGAAAATGTTCTTTCTTTGCAGACGATTTTTATTTCGGAAAGTGAGGAAAGATTCCAGACGGCGAAAACGGACTTGTGACTCTTGGCCAGAAAAGAAAAGGACTTCGTACTTGTTTCCGTAGTAGGGCACGTTCCTAAACGTTGTTCTCTTTCGCAAAATGACAACGACCTTGAAAGTATCGTGAAAGTTTCAATTTCAGTGAATTCATTCAACTATAATCATATTTAAGAATTATTATAGACAAGTTCTCGCTCACCGATTATAAGGAAAGAATCGGCGATTAAGAATATCGTTGCATAATTTAATATTTCTGCTAATAAAAAATATTTTTAATTTGTATCAAACCCTTTAATCATTTAAGCTAAATTTTCGTTCGCACATTTTACCACATAATCACACAAAACTAAATATATGAGTTTCGACAATTTATCCATTTGCGATACATTTAGTCTAATATATATTTTAATTCGCGTCTTCCAAGCGATAATGTAACAATTGGATTTTCCGTAATGTGCGGCTGCGTCCCAATCAATTTAACGTTGTAACGACGGTAATAGGAGACACGTGTTGACGTCGCGATGCAAATCTACGGTGAGATATTCCGTTACTTTCGCGAGAAACGCACGTGTCGAATGCGCGTCGCAGTGAGTTGAATTCTTGGAGACAAAACCGCGAAACAGAATCTCCGCCCGATGGTTTCGTGGGAGTTAGGCGACCGCGCTTGCTTTCGCGCGTATTCAACCCGGAGTGCATAACGTCGGCTAGAATATCATCCGAAGAAGTAGGACGACCGGAAGCAGCGTCGCGGCTATTCTGTCGCCTCTACCGTGATGCATTGCCGCTGGGTGTTCTTCTGAAACAAACGCCGTGCTATAATACCGTTTTGCTCGAGCGGTTCTTAGCAGGTGGTATTTAGAGCGACATTTCCGTGGAGGTGAGCGCGAGCTCTCGCTTTGGGCAAAGGCGCTCCTCTTGACGGTTACTAGCTAAGTATTTCTGGGGTGAGATTGTGTCTTTCTCAAAGAAATAATTTAAATATTTTAAAAGCTATTTTCCTTAAGTAATTCGTCATTTTCAAGAAAAGTAACTTTGATTTTTTTCCGCCCATGATATAATTGACCGAGTGATATGATATAATTTTCGCAGCAAATAAAAATAGAAATTATTATTTCTATTTTAAATAGAATTGTTATTTGGCTCATATCTATTTATTCCACCAATTGCACCAATTGCAGATTTTTTAGTGAGTTCGCCCTTTTAAAAAAACGTCTCACTCGAGTTCAGACGGATAATACGCAATAGCTTGCACGTAGAGCTTGTGCTTCTAAGCGAAATTGACATTTTTCTTTTACCATTGACTATGTGGACCCGTACGCTGTTAGGATGAGTGTTATTGGGTGAGCACGTGTAAAGACCGGAATCTCTTTCGACTGCCTTCTGAATGAGTAAACGGCTTGAAGTCACGGGTCCCTTTTCCGTTACTAAGCTGATGCCACCCCTCGGCGAGTCGAAGTTAATCACCTGCGGAAAAAGGATATAAAAAGCACGTCGGGTTACTTTCCTCTGACGTGACCAAGTACGGATGGGGCTATTTTGCGGAAAAAGAAGCAGGAAGTGTCGACGGAACATGTTCCCTGCAATGACAGAAATCTTCTTTTCTAGGATTTTTTTCTAGACGTTCACTTCCTTACCTTTGCCATTCCAATATAAAATACGTTCATATAACAGGTAATTGCAATTTTGAAAATATCAAGAGTACTAATTAAAGTTTGTACAACATGCTTTATGTTTCGTATATTTTTTTAAATATTAAATGTTTGTATAAGTTTAAAATATTTGTAATTTGTAACAATTATTTAAAATATGAAAACAATTGATATTAATTTAGAGAATAAATATAGAGAACCTCATTTTCGAGAATTAGTTATGTCTATTATTCTTTTGTTTTCTATATTTTTTATAAACCAACGCAATAAATCATCGCAAGTTTGTTTTTCAAATTTTATTTAGTTTTATTACAACATAATAAATGCTATATTTTGCAATAATTGATAATTCATAGTCCAATTGATGGTTACACAAATTGTTATATGTTTGTTTTATAAGTTTCATTACTACACAATTTATTATGTTCCTGAATTAATCATATTTAATCCTCATATAATTATATTTAATTAATATCTGCAACAATTGCGGTCATAATTGTTCGATTTATGCACACATATACATATAGATATGTATACATTTATAAAAAAAATTAATAATAATTTTGGTTCGGAAAAAATCATATTATATAAATATAAAATATATATAAAACAAAAATTTGATTTTTAAATAAAAATTAAATTTAAATAAATAAAGAATTATACATTGACAACGTTACAATTATATATGGCGACTTTCTACATTTATTTTTTTCTATACATCTACTTAATTGACATCTCATGATTGCCACGAACAGTAGCGATATAATCATGCGTAATTAACCGAGTTAAAAGTTAATTGCTTGCTTGTGGAAGCAGACAGAGACAGATGTTTCATCTGTCCGTGACTAGACAGGGCTTAAGGCACTTTGTGAGAATGGAAGAGAAGTGTCGACTGTAGGTTTCCTTGTTTTCCTTGAATGATAGAAAGCATTTTGGGACAAGTTTCCCGAAAGTACAACTTAAAGCAACATCTACGCAACCATCTTGGTTCCATTTGTATCCGCGTTCACTGAAATAAATGCGACGAGATTCTTAAACTCAAATGAAACTGACATAACGTTATGAGAACATTCTCCTGCTTATAATTAATAACAGGACCGTCTTCAGAGTCTTCTCGAGAAACTTTGTAATATTGTTAAATAAATGAATCGTCTTGCGGTGTGGAGAGAGAAACTTTATGTTTAATGGAAATCGCCGTGGCATAATGAGAATCACGTTTAAAAAGGAGCGTTGTCATCGAAACATACGAATCCTTTAATTATAATTTTCGCATTGTTCAAACGGAAATACATCATCTCGTCGAGAAAGCAAGCCGCTGTTGGTATCTTTCATAAATATCGCACGCTCGAAGGAAGCACGCTACCAACGATAATCGATATATGCGCCAGGTCGATAGAAGCGCGTACATACACAGCTACAGGCTTTTTTAACAACCGCGAGAAACATGAAAAATGTTTCTGTTTGTATCGGTATCCGCATCCACAAAACCAGCAATCATTATGAAATTTAGATTGGGCTTTGGTTGAAAGCATCTTTCATGACGCGAACTTCAAACTTGATGGTAGCGATGACAAATGATTTTCAGCAAACGATAAGGACCTCATTCGCAAGTCATAAAAATCATAAGACTTACCTGATGATTGTGACTCCAAATTATCGTTGACGGTGGTTCGGGCGCGTATCTTACGTAGCATGTCAAATTTATCGTGCTGTCCTTGTTGATGAACAGGTCTGGACCGCCGGTTATTTCCGTCACGGGCTCTGCAACGAGAAAAAAATTGCGTACACAATTTTCAACTTTTTGTTGAGTTTCTTACTTTTCAAACATCGTTCATTTATGCTATTTTATCTGTCGCAAACTATGTTTTTAATTACAAACAAAAATGTCTGGAAATTCACTGTAATGCGCGTTCTTCCTATTATAATTATAATAACAATATGAATTCCTCTATAACTTTTCTTTGAAGATACGAGATTGTCCCGTATTCTTCGTCCCGTATTTTTCCGAACGATCGTTCAAAAGAGAGCAAAAAGTCAGCAGCCGAAATGAAATGCAATAACCGCGCACGGGAGAAAGCGGTCGCTCGGCATTATACTCACATTATTTCGCGGAAAACAGGTTCGGCCCCGAAGGAAGTACCGACGGAATCAATTCCGGATGACTGGGAGTTTCCGTTCGAGAGATTCGCTTTGTATGCGATTGAGGAGAAATCATTGAACCACAAAATATACGGATTCTTTTGAAGTGTGCGCTTCACACTCAAATCGATTAGAGCATATTGATATTTTCATCGCCAGTCGCGGCCGATATCTCGAGGCGTTAAGAACCCGCTTAATTTTCGCGAGGGGGATGACCCCACGAAACGGTAACCCGAACGTGTTCGGAATTTTTGTCTCGCGCTCCCGTGCTCGTAAGAATCAATGACCGTGCAGAAAACGTACACGGACGAAAGCATATTTCTTCCCTTTCCTCTCTCCCGCACTTTCCATTAAATCTTGTTGCTGGAAATACCACCTCGGCGAATCTCCGCGTCCGCGGTACACAGGATCGTTACAGTCCGTCGGCTGGGATTCTCCAAGTTTCTCGGATTCCCATTGGTGGATCTCAATTATCTGACAAACCAGTTTCGAGACTTCCACCGTCGTTTGCTGACCGACTTGCGAGCGGGCGGTCTGCGGCAGCACAGAGAGATCTTCATTTCCACGCCAGGAATGCCAAAAGCGAACGCGAATATCGTAGGCGGCAAACAACTATTATTGTTTCATGAGATTCACGGCCTTTGTTGCTCGCATTCGCCGACATTTATTCTCACCCCTCCCCGAAGCGATGATTATCCAACTCTTCAATAGAGTAAAATATGAACAGATTAATCGATCGTATCGCAAAGAGAGTCTCTTCCTTTATCGTTATCGCGGCACATTATTCCGGGTAATAACGTTTTGCAGCACACGTTTTACCATTCGATGGCTTACCGCGTTGCGCGCAATTTGTAAGCTTACAATGCACGGTGTCGTTAAATGAAATCGCTCGTACGACATCCATTTCGAAACCTTACACGTTCACCTCTTCAGATTGCTTCCTTACTCTCTGTTTGTTCATCTTATTTTTATAAAAAAATCTTAATCTTAATTTCGTTAAAAATGTAAACACTATTTCGTGTATTTTTCGACGCTTTTGAGATAGATACTTTTCAGTACAAAAATTAGCTTTCGCATAAAGAAGATTAATTATATCAAGTTTATAAATACACAAATAATAATTTCTGAACATAATTTTCTTGGGCACATTGCTCGTGCAGACTTTGGCAAAGTATCGTCGTCATTGAACAAAATTACGGATCACAGAGAGCGCACATTTGCCTCGTCGCTTGAAAGTTAGAGAGAGCACAGGCATCGTTAAGATATAATGTTAACGAGAACACGAAGATTAGCTTCAAATGAGGACGTTTTTGCAATGTTAACGATGTCGCCGAAATTAAGATCCCACGATGTTCCAGAGTTTCCAGAGTTTGACGCGCTGCTCGATTGTACGATATAACCAGGACTTTCATCAGTGGACAGTGTTCTGGTCAGGCTCCACAAATAAGAGAATTTCATTTCCTTCTCGGAGACCCTTAAACGACTGGACGAATGCTCCTTGTGAACATTCCGCGAAGAGAAATGCGGAACATCGTTCGTTTTATGATGCGCTGCACGTATCTTGAGAATTCAACAATGTTCTTCGTAAACGATAGTGCCTATTAAAAGGAACAATTATTTCGATAGTCCGATCTAATTTCGATCTAATTGAGCAGGCCCGAGAATTTGTCCGCCGATCTTTATTCTTCGTCGAAATATTTCTACGCGAACAAGTGGAAAATACGAATCGTTCTTATTGATATTTATTTAATTTCTAATTTATAAAAGTTGCAATTGTAAATTATATATTAATAAAACTAAAAATAAATAATGTAAATATTTTCAAAAATTCTATAATTTTATAATATTAAATATTTCAAAAATTATTAAACAATCTATCACTATTAAACAACAAACCAGTTGATATCAGTTTCATAATAATTATGGACTATATTTGATATTATAATAATTATTATACATTAACTTGTAATTAAATGAAATTAATCAAATAAAGTTAAATAACAAATACTATTACGCTTTTTTTTTAATTTCGTTAACCAAACAATGTGCTAACAATGTGCAGTGAAGCAGTTAGTTTATTGACATAAGTGTATTCATAGTTATGCAAAAAAGACATATCCGGCGCCGAGAATACCCTTAGTAAGATTTTTTTTTAGGTGCACGCAACATCTCTTTATTTTTTCTGATCGTAAGGTGACATACCCCTAAATTTTCGAGGAGGGCCAGAATCGAATTGACTGCTACGCCTTTAACCGAGCCATCGATCCCCCATCTTTGATCGATCATTGTGTTGGCACACCCCCATGTGGAGGGTGAGTTGAAATAAATCGAGAGTGGACGCGTACGTGGCTCGACCGCAACTTCGTCTGCAATTGAATCACCACTCTGTCACGTTGCCCGCAAAAAAATCTAACAAGCTTGGAAGATAGTAAATTGACGTTCCCTCTGCAAAATACGTTCGAGTAAAGACGCGAACTTTCTCTCTCCCGAAAGTAAATTGCCGATGGTTCGGTACTACCATCGCTCCCTGTATCGTTACCAGACGGCTTGTTACTCTTTGACGTTCGTTTGAAAAAAATGCTCCCTCGTACCTTTTGTTTTTGTGACTTGCAGTTCAACATGTAACTCGCAGAGATTTCGATCCATGCATGATATATCTTAATTTTATCATATATCTTATTTACCTTGATTGTTTATTAGACATACGATAGACATTGTTGTCGTATCGCTTCAAACATATCGTTTTGCAAAGGGACAATATAGTTGTTCTGATGCCTATTTCCTTCAATATTAATCTTCTCGGTCAACGTAAAACAGGCTCGCTCGATAAATCACGTCGTTGCAGCGAGGCCACTGCATTTCAGGAGCGCAGTCGCAGCCCATTTTTCGTAACGCCACTCGAGACCGGTGTCCATACGTTCGTAGTGATCAGGGACATTAACTTGACAGACATATGCAGCTGACGGTATCGGGGATAAGGTTAACGGCGGGACAAGTCCGGTAGGTTGTGTGCAACCGTGAATGTATACCGCCGGAGGCGTGGAAGGGAGAGATAGCGAGAGGAAGAGAGAGAGAGAGAGAGAGAGAGAGAGAGAGAGAGAGGAGAGAGAGGAGAGGAGGAGAGAGAGGAGAGGGGGGGGGAGTGAAAAGGGGAGACAGGAGGGGCAGAAAGAGCCTGGTAGTGAACGGTAACACGAACTATGGGGTCCCATACGTTACGCGCCATATCGTCAGGAGCGAGAGTTACTATTGGGCCCGCCCGACTGTCCCTTCATGCTCGAATACAGCATTCCTACGCTGATAATGATCTTCCATTCGCGCCATTGCCGATAGAAATTGATTGCGTTCGAATGCGTCGATCGATGAGGTTTGCACGAACACCGACTACTGTGTCGGGCGCGCGCGTGTCACGCATTTAGGATATACAGTGTACTCTGGTGCGTGTATATGCAGGACATGCGTGCATATCCGACGTTGCGTCATACTGATTGCGCATCACTCGTCAGTGTGCCACCGACGGAATGTCGCACGAGATCGCGGCCGATAGACGCGTCATTCACGGGAGAGTAAAACGACGATAAGGGAATAATATAACGTGGTTCGAACACGGTGAAGTGAATAATCGCTCAGGAGATTATGCCGCGTTCGTAGCGTAATGGAGCTCCGTTGCATTCCTCTTATTCGCCTGTACTACCTTTATATCACGATGATATTATTAATAGAGATGAATGCATTTTTTACATTATTTTCTCTTCTTTTCATTTTATTTCGAATTAGTGAAAAGAATAAAATATAAGAAATTAGTCTTATGTAGATTATGTCGATATCCGTGTGATTGTATTATCAAATCGTTTGAGAGTTCAATACGTACATACGTTACACGAGAGGCGTGCATGCCTATTCGATATTCGTAATGGTCGATGTCTCGACCATTATCCTAAACACGTACATATTTTACGGATTAATGTCTTATCGGCGATGAGATAGCTCGGCACTTCCGCCTTAACCGTTGATACTAACGCGATCAGAACGCGTTCTCGAGCATGAACCAGGATGCCCACCTGCATTACGATACTCCTCGTGGCAAGCGATTCTGCCACGCCCATAAGGGAACTACGGCTGAACTACCGAACAAGAGCCATTTACACAAAAGGCGACGGTAATGGCGAGATTCTTAGCTAGAGTACCTACCCCAAGTTTCGGCCCCCGGAGAAAAGCTGCTCGAGTATCTATACCCTAATAATACGTTGTTACTGGCACTTACTTAAGCGTACTTGCAACCATTAGGAATTCTAATTACTTTCGTAGCTGCCAATTCTACTCGAGAACGATCGTGTTATCTCGCGGCGTGAAAGGAGCAATTCTAGTAGATCATTGCACTCTTTGAGAAAAAGCGTATCTATGAATAAAAATCTTGTAAATAATTTTTGCCCAATGGCGATTTCAAGTCATCTTAAAATCGCTAGAAGATGTACGATTTCGTTTCATCTTTCATATCGAAACCTTCTTATTAATAAAATTAATATCCTTCGAACTAATACGGTTATTAAGGATTAAAAAGCACTTTATATTCATAGGTATCCAGCAACAACTCAATTTTATGGAAGGGAAACTTCTATGGA